CGGTGGGGGACGGGGGGGGGGGGGGAGTAGAAGTTGCTTCATATATGTAATAGGTCTCATTATTAGTCCACATCACTTACTAGAAAACATAAAAAAAACCATCTTGAATGTTTTAACCAAAGAAACAATGGATTGGTATTCTTGGTTATCCAAAACTAGCCTTGATCAAACACTTACCTATGAGTATGGTCTTATTTTCAGCAGAAATGAGATTCACAAAGAGGATCTAACTTACTTCAACCATGAGTTCCTACAAAGCATGGGCATAACTATAGCCAAACACAGACTAGAGATTCTCAAATTGGCAAGAAAGGAAGGAGGAGCCTCATCAAATGGCCTTTCAAGACTTGTTTTGGCAATCAACAAAACCAAGAAGCTCATTTCCAAGAACTTCAACAAGCTCAGTTTTCACCGAACCTCGACTCATCTGGCTCTATCCGAGCTCAAACCTTATCGAACACAATGGACCGGAGCACTAAAGATGCTCGAGAGCTCGAAGGAACAAAGGCAAGAGAAAGCCATAGTTACAACCAGAAACACGATGAAGTCAGGACCACTAGACAGAAGAATGCAAGACAAAATGATGGTTACAAGTAGGAATCTGAGTGTCTCAGGTCCTTTGGATGGGAAAATTCAAGAAAAATTGATGTACCCTAATAGGAGTCCAATGAAGTCTGGGCCATTGGACAGAAGGTACCAAAATAGTGCTGTTTATCCAAGCAGAAGCAATAAATCTGGGCCACTGGATGCAAAGGGCATGAGCCCAAGGCTTAATCACTACAATCAAGAAATAATACCAGCTGATGATGGGGTTTACTCACAATGGTCTTTAATGTTTCAAGATATGAAGCCCACTTGACAACTCATATGAAGCTGCAGATTACAGAATCCTAGGTTAGTTTGTTTTTAGTAGATATCAGCTTTGGTTTGATTTTTAGTAGCAAAAAGGAAGAATTTACTTTAAGGTATGGAACAGGCATGGGGGTTGCTGTGTAACCTTCTTTTCTGCATTTGTGTACTTGAAAGTCTTGAATTAAGCTAAGTATCAATAATGTATGATGGTTGGTTCATATTGAACACAAAAATTGAAATTTTAAGCAACGCGAATCTACTACCACCGGTTTTTCCCAAGAGTTCACTACAGAGCTACCAAATATATGCAATAAAAGACTAGCAGCAACAAATAGATAACAGAGATTCTACACCAATTCCTTTCTTCTTCGCTCATGTAATGTCATGTATATAAGATGAAGATCATGTCTTCCTATCGGGAAAGGCATTAAAGGTCAAATGCAGGACCTTGAAGATATGCGATTTTGGGGTACACTTAACGCATAATGAAAGGATCTCGCGGGGAGTTTATTCTGCAAGAGTGGTATGATGGTGGGACTTGATAATGATTTTCACATGCAATACTCTTTCGATACTAAGAAAGACAGGTTTCATGTCATTCTGTGGTACTACAAATCAGTGGCGGAGACACCTTAGGCTGAGGGGTGTCAATTGACGCCCCTTTGCTGGAAAATTACACTGTGTAGCTAGATCAAAAATTTATTTATATGTATATATACTATATGTTGAATCTCCTTAGCTTCTTCCTGTGTTTTACTTCTTTATTGTTAGAATAGTTATGTAAATAGTAGTAAATAACCCTAACTCCATATGTATTAGGAGTAGGACATGTACTATATATATATATATATATATATATATATATATATATATATATATATAGGGCTCATTGTATCATTGTCTAACATATGTGAATAATATCATATTTTCTCCCGTACATCCTCACATGGTATCAGAGCATTCGTGAGAGATTTATCGTTGTGCATAAATTCTAGCGATTCCGGGAAGAGAAACCAGTCACCAGAAGCCTTTTCTCCGTCGACTTTTTCAAGGCTGTCTGCGTCCCGTTGTCTCTGTCAGTGTTGTGCAAAATCCAACACTACCACAAGAGTCACCACTGTCCGGCGACCAAACCCCAGTAAAAATCTCCGGCAGCAGCCTCCCCACGCGCCACCAGAAGCTCACGCGAGTGAACTCACGCGACGACGCGTACAACCACTCCTGGCCATTTTTTTAAAAAGTTTCTTCGTAACAGTTGGGTCGTCTACAAATTCCGATCTCACCCATACTGTTTTCGTTTGATTCTGACCACTTTGAGTTTTTCCAACGACTACACTGATTTTTCTGGCAGCTACAGTAATTTTCCGGCAAAAACAATGTCTCCTTCGTCTGTTTTAGCAAGTTTTCAATTGATTCTTTCTGTTATTTGGTGATAATTTTATAGACCTCTCTTCAATCCAACGATGTCTTTGGGAGTCGATGCTTTCGGGGGCTCTGGCAGTTCCAGTGTTATGATTCCCTCAGAACCTTTAATGGGAAGTTCAAACTACTTAGCTTGGGCTCCGTCTGTCGAGTTGTGGTGTAAAGGTCAAGGTGTTCAAGATCATTTAATCACGAAGTCTAGCGAAGGAGATGAAAAGGCCAAAGCACTTTGGGAGAAGATCGATGCTCAATTATGCAGTATTCTGTGGCGATCTATTGATTCCAAGTTGATGCCCTTGTTTCGTCCATTCCAGACATGTTATTTGGTTAGGGAAAAGGCTCACACTTTATACAATAATGACATATCTCGTTTCTATGGTGTGATATCGCGGATGACAAATTTAAAGAAACATGAATTAGATATGTCTACTTGCTTGGGACAAGTACAGGCAGTCATGGAGGAATTTGAGAAGTTGATGCCAGTTTCTGCTAGTGTTGAAAACCAACAAGAGCAGCGACAAAAGATGTTTCTAGTTCTTACTCTTGCTGGACTTCCTAATGATCTTGACTCAGTTCGCGATCAGATTTTGGCTAGTCCGACTGTCCCCACAGTTGATGAATTATTCTCTCGATTACTTCGCCTTGCTGCAGCACCAAGTCACCCGGTGATCTCATCACAGACACTTGACCCGTCTGTTCTTGCATCCCAGACAGTGGACAATCGGGCATCTCATACTATAGAGAATAGACGTAGAGGAGGTCGTTTTGGAAGATCTAGACCCAAGTGCTCTTATTGTCATAAACTTGGACATACTCGTGATGTGTGTTATTCTTTACATGGTCGTCCACCCAAAAATGCTTATGTTGCTCAGACCGAGACTACAGGTAACCAGGGATTTTCTTTATCTGAAGGGGAATATAATGAGTTCCTTCAGTATCGAGCAAGTAAGCAGACATCTCCACAAGTAGCTTCTGTTGCTCAGACTGATACTTCTGTTGCTGGTAATTCTTTTGCTTCTATTTCCCAGTCTAGTACTCTTGGACCATGGGTCGTGGACTCAGGCGCTTCTGATCATATCTCTGGTAATAAATCCCTTTTGTCAAATATGTGTATTCACAGTCTCTTCCCACTGTTACTTAGCCAATGGGTCTCAAACTAAAGCAAAAAGAGTTGGACAAGCTAATCCACTACCCTCTGTCACTCTAGATTCTGTTCTTTATGTCCCTGACTGTCCTTTTAGTCTTGCATCTGTTAGTCGTTTGACTCGTGTCCTCCATTGTGGTATATATTTTATTGATGATTCTTTTATTATGCAGGACCGCAGTACGAGACAGACGATTGGAACAGGGCTTGAATCAGAAGGCATTACTACCTTAACTCACTCAATTCCTCTAAGGCATGTCTAGTTACAGATCCTCCAGACCTAATTCACAGACGTTTAGGACATCCAAGTTTAAGCTTCAGAAGATGGTGCCTAGTTTGTCTAGTTTATCTACATTAGATTGTGAGTCGTGTCAGCTCGGGAAACATACCCGAGCCTCCTTTCCTCGTAGTATTGAGAGCCATGCAGAGTCTGTTTTTTCTTTAGTTCATTCTGATATATGAGTTCCTAGTAGAGTCAGTTCAACCTTGGGATTTCGTTATTTTGTTAGTTTCATTGATGATTATTCAAGATGTACTTGGTTTTTCTTAATGAAAGGTCGTTCTGAGTTGGTTTCTATATTCCAGAATTTTTGTGTTGAAATCAAAAATCAATTTGGTGTTTCTATTCGCACTTTTCGCAATGATAATGCCTTAGAATATTTATCCTCTCAATTTAAGCAATTTACGACTTCTCAAGGAATTATTCATCAGACCTCTTGTCCTTATACCCCTTAGCAAAATGGGGTTGCAGAGAGAAAGAATAGGCACCTCATTGAGACTGCTCGCACACTTCTCATTGAATCTCATGTTCCGTTGCGTTTTTGGGGCGATGCAGTTCTCACATCTTGTTATTTGGTTAATCGGATGCCTTCATCTCCCATCCAGAATCAGATTCCGTATTCAGTATTGTTTCCCTAGTCACCCTTATACTCTCTTCCCCCTCGTGTTTTTGGGAGCACTTGTTTCGTTCATCACTTAGCCCCTGGGAAAGATAAGTTAGCTCCTCGTGCTCTCAAGTGTATCTTCCTTGGTTATTCTCGTGTTCAGAAGGGATATCGTTGTTACTCACCTGATCTTCGTAGGTACTTTATGTCAGCTGACGTCATATTTTTTTAGTCTAAACCTTTCTTTACCTCTTCTGACCACCTCGATATAACTGAGGTCTTGCCTATACCGACTTTTGAAGAGTTCACTATAGCTCCTCCTTCACCTTCCGCCACAGAAGTCTTACCCATTACAACCGTTGGGGAGTCTAGTGTGGCTCCTCCTAGATCCCCAGCTACAGGAACACCGCTCTTGACTTATCATTGTCATCCGCGCCCAGCATCAGGCCCAGCTGATTCACGTCCTGCACCTGACCATGCTCCTACTGCGGACTTGTCTCTTCCTAGTACACCGATTGCACTTCGAAAAGGTATACGGACCACACCTAATCTTAATCCCCATTATGTCGGTTTAAGTTATCATCGTCTGTCATCACCCTATTATGCTTTTATATCTTCTTTGTCCTCTTTTTCCATCCCTAAGTCTACAGGTGAAGCATTGTCTCATCCAGGATGGCGACAGGCTATGATTGACGAGATGTCTGCTTTACATACGAGTGGTACTTGGGAGCCCGTTCTTCTTCTTTCAGGTAAATCTACTGTTGGTTGTCGTTAGGTGTATGCAGTCAAGGTTGGTCCGGATGGCAAGGTTGATCGTCTTAGGGCCCGTCTTGTTGCCAAGGGATATACTCAGATATTTGAGCTCGATTACAGTGATACCTTCTCTCCCATGGCTAAGATAACATCAGTCCGCCTTTTTCTATCCATGGCTGCTGTTCGCCATTGGCCTCTCTATCAGCTAGACATTAAGAATGCTTTTTTACACGGTGACCATGAGGATGAAGTTTATATGGAGCAACCACCTAGGTTTGTTGCTCAGGGGGAGTCTCGTGGACTTGTATGTCGCTTTCGCCGGTCACTTTATGGTCTAAAGCAGCCTCATTCAGCATAGTTTTCCAGGAGTTTGGCATGACTCGGAGTGAAGCTGATCACTCTGTGTTTTATCGGCATTCTGCCTCGAGTCCCTGTATTTATCTGGTGGTCTATGTTGACGACATTGTTATTACCGGCAATGACCAAGATGGTATTACTAAATTGAAGCAACATCTCTTTCAACACTTTCAGACTAAGGACTGGGCAAACTAAAGTATTTTCTAGGTATTGAGGTCACTCAGTCTAGCTCAGGTATTGTGATCTCACAACGAAAGTATGCCTTAGATATTCTTGAGGTGACAGGAATGACGGGTTGTAGACCTGTTGACACTCCGATGGATCCGAATTCAAAACTTATGCTAGGGCAGGGGGAGCCTCTTAGCGATCCTTCAAGATATAGGCGGTTGGTTGGTAAATTAAATTACCTTACAGTGACAAGACCTGACATTTCCTTTCTTGTGACTGTTGTGAGTCAGTTTATGGATTCTCTGTGTGATGGTCATTGGGATGCAGTTGTCCGCGTTCTTCGGTATATAAAATCAGCTCCAGGCAAAGGTTTATTGTTTGAGGATCGAGGCCATGAGCAAATCGTTGGATACTCAGATGCTGATTGGGCAGGATCACCTTCTGATAGACGTTCTACGTCTGAATAATGTGTCTTAGTAGGAGGAAATTTGGTGTCTTGGAAGAGCAAGAAACAGAATGTGGTTGCTCGGTCTAGTGCAGAAGCAGGATATCGAGCAATGGCTATGGCGACATGTGAGCTAATTTGGATCAAACAGTTGCTCAAGGAGTTGAAATTTTGTGAGATTAGTTAGATGGGACTTGTGCGTAATAATCAAGCTGCTCTTCATATTGCGTCAGATCCAGTGTTCCATGAGAGAACTAAACACATTGAGATTGACTGTCACTTTGTTAGAGAAAAGATACTCTCGGGAGATATTGCTACAAAGTTTGTGAAGTCGAATGATCAGCTTGCAGATATTTTCACCAAGTCCCTCACTGGTCCTCGTATTAACTACATATGTAACAAGCTCGGTACATATGATTTATATGCATCAGCTTGAGGGGAGTGTTAGAATAGTTATGTAAATAGTAGTAAATAACCCTAATCCCATATGTATTAGGTGTAGGACATGTATTATATATATATATCATATTTTCTTCCGTGCATTCTCACATTTATATTTTGACACCTTAGTGAAATTCCTAGCTCCGCCATTGCCACAACTTTAATCACAACACCTGAAATTGTTCCATCTCAAAGATCAATGCTAGCTGAGAATTAAAGTAAGAAAATCTAAACCAATTCAGATCATCAGCACAACTATAGACTTTCCGGAATTTACTATAGGTCTGGGCTACAGTAAGATCTATATAACTATGCTTCCATAATACTGTTTCTTGTATTCTATCGATAACCAAATCTCAGATTAGCTCAGATAACTGTAGTATATTTTTCAGTTGTCAGTCTAATTCCGTGCTTTTGCCAGCTACAGAGAACTTCATAAACGATTCTCCCTTTTCCTTTTGAAGTTTCTGGAATATGCATGATGCATGTACCATAGTACCAGTTCTTAGGAATAACCATACCCTTAGCTATAATGCATTGTATCATCAAAACAGTTGTTGCAGCGTTTATTTCAGTTTAAAGGAGACAATGATACATTATCTAAGAAGACATGCTCATAATACTATAAAGATAGTATAACCATTTGGGTATGGTGTGGATACAAAGTAGATGAGAGGACACTATTTCATACTATAGCTCGATGTATCAAGTGTTACAGCTCAGTAACTAGTTACATTCAGTAGTTTAAGCATCTATTGCACGATATGCTTCATTGTCGACACAACCTAACAAAAGCTAAGATTCTCAAATATATCATACAGATCATAACAATTATCAAACATATCATTTCAAAAACTGAAACAGGTCGATACTATCTGAAATTTGAACTCACAGGCAATGACTTACTGATCAATGTGCTCTCCTTTAGAATATTAGCACATGAAATTGGTCATACTTTTTCAAGATACCTCAATGATTTGAATTTTGAGGTAGCCGAAAGGATCCTCCAGCATAAAGCATTTGGTAAACAGGTTTTATTCTCATGGTAAGAACAATACTAAGCATGGTGCCAATACCACATACTCCAGCGAGAATCAGGAAGGTGACTCTAAAGCAATTAGGACCCAAGCAAGTAGCAGAATGCTGCTTTGCTGCCTCGTTATCGTAGAGAAATCCGGCAAGAAGACCGGAGAATAGATAAGCACCTAAAGGATTCCCCAGTGACATGAAATTGAAAATCATACCGAAATGCTTGAGACCAAACAGCTCAGAAGCTGTTGGGACCATCGTTGTAAATTGAACACCGTAGCAGACTCCTAGTAACGCTGTCGCTGCATACAAGGTACCATTAAGTGCAGACGCAAACAGAAGGTAGGTAATGATCATTACTACTTGTGTGCATGTCATCCAAACTGTTCTAGGTACTGCTTTTAACCTGCATTGTAAGTTGAACAACAAGCAATTAGATCAGGCTAGTATTACATCAGCAAAACACTATAACTGAAACAAGCAGTCTAATTATTGTGATGGGAATCTTTAGTATCTTCAGCAAGTTATCTCATCCATAAATTTCTTTTGACTATTCTTCGGCAAATACTTCAGATAAAAACATTGTCCGTGCACCCAAGGGTGTGGCCTAGTGGTCAATGAAGTGGTGAGAACCATGAGGCCTCGGGTTCAAATCTAAGTTGCTCTGACATGGCAGTTTAGGTGCCGAACCCGTGTCGACACGACACTAGTATGAGTGTGGGTGTGGGTATCCGTACCGGATCTAGTTAAACAATTTCAAGTACTTTGACCACGATGGACTGAAAAATTCGAGTCGGGATACAATTTGACTCCCGAAATCATAACCAAAACTAGGCTAAATCTGAAGAAAATAGCATACCTTATCTAAGAAATCAATCCTTTGCTTATCTACAGCTTGAGAATAAAAAAGAGATCCACACTTTGCAAGCTATACGTAAGTATTCCACAAAATTTCTCATAATTTAGAGATATTTTTATATTTTTATTGTTTTGAATTATTTTTAGCCGGGTCCCGCACCCGTATCCGTACTAGGATCCGTATCCCCAAATCTTAGAATTTACATCTCGAAGGATCCGACCTCTAGATCCGCACCCGTGTCGGTGTGACGACCCAAAGGGTCATCACCTGTTTTCTTATTCATTACGTACTTCCGAGGTCTTTAAAACCTCATTTGGGGTTGCCTCGATTTGCGTGCGCAGTCCGGGCGCGTAGCCGGAAAGCTTAAATATGAATTCTGTGAGAAAAATGCTAAATTTTGATATTTAATTGAATAAATTTGACTTCGGTCAACATTTTGGGTAAACGGACCCGGACCCGGACCCGTGATTTGACGGTCCCGGAGGGTCCGTAGGAAAATGTGGGACTTGAGCGTATGCACGGAATCGAATTCCGAGGTCCCAAGCTCGAGAAACGAATTTTTGTGTGAAATTGTTTTCTGGAAATGATTAAGGAAAATGAAAATGAAATTTGATTAAAAGATTGTGGTATCGGGCCCGTATTTTGGTTCTGGCGCCCGGTACAAGTCTTATATGTGGTTTAAGCGCTTTCTGTAAAGTTTGGTTTAAAACGGACGTCTTTTGACGCGTTTCGGACTTGAATTGGATAATTTGATGTTTTATGAAATTTGGAAGAAATCATGGGTTTTGAGGCCTAATTTGATGTTCATGATGTTATTTTGGCGATTTGATCGCACGGATAAGTCTGTAGGATGGTTTTGACGTGGTGTGTATGTTTGGTTTGGAGCCCCGAGGGCTCGGGTGAGTTTTGAGTAGGTTCCGGGATGCCTTAGACTTAAAATATCAGCTGTTGCAGGATTCAGGAAATATTGCAGGCTTCTGAACCCTCTAGCGCGGTCCGCGAGAAATCGCGTGCGGCCGTGGAGGGGCCAGCGCAGCCGCGGTCGCCTTTGCGCGGTCCGCGGTGGGTGCTGTGCGGCCGCGGTCGGCTTTGCGCGGTCCGCGCAGGGCTAAGATCCGCAGGTCTTCAGGTAGGCTAGGCTAGCGCGACCGCGGTCCCTTTTTGCGCGGCCCGCCCTGGGACTTCAGAGGGGTATATATAGACGGGAATTTCAGTTATTTTTCACTTTTCAAAAACCCAAAACATAAGAGGCGATTTTCCAAACCATTCTTCTTCTATAAAACAATTGGTAAGTGATTTCTAACTCATTTTCTTCACTCCTTAACATCTTTTAACATAAATTCAACTTTAAAACAAAGATTTTAATGGGAAAATTTGAAAATTTTGGATAGAACCTAGGTTTTTTTTTTCTAAAATTGGGGATTTGGACCTCAATTTAAGGTCCAATTTCAAAATAATTTATATATTTGAGTTCGTGGGGGAATGGGTAAACGGGTTTTGGTTCGAACCTCGGGTTTTGGCCATGTGGGCCCGGGGGCATTTTTGACCTTTTGGGGAAAAATGATGAAAAAGCTATAATTAGGTATTGGGTTCGTGTTGTTTAGCATTTATTGATGTATTGAAGTCATTATTGTATAGATACGATTGATTTGGAGCCGAATTCGAGGGGAAAGGCGGTTATTGAGGATTGAACTGGCTGTGGAAGTTTGAGGTAAGTATTTGGTTTAACCCTAGCTTGAGGGAATAGGAGTTGAGTCTTATTTGTAACTTGCTAATTGTCGAGTACGATGTATAGACATGGTGACGAGTATCTATACATTGGTGTCTAGCATGACCGTGAGTCTTTGTTTTGCAAATAGTTTGGTTGTTGTTGTTATGCCTTCCATGCTTAAATGATGACTTCTACATGTTGTAAAGATCTTGTGATCTTTGAACTTCGTGGAGCATTGGCTCGGGTTGAAATACAAATTGTGAAGGTGTAGGAGATAAGTATCTCCTTGGAGCATTGGCTCAAGTGATAATGTAAACTTTGAGATGAAAGTGAAAGAAAGAGAAGAGTTAATGATTTATTCCCTTGCCGGGACGTTGTTGGTTATTGATGTTGTACCCTTGCCGGGTTTTTTATTTGTTTGTTTGTGTACCCTTGTCGGGACTTCCATTCTTGTTTTATTATTCCCTTGCCCTTGTTTGGGATTTGTTGATTGGGTGAGGAAGAGTGTTAAAGCACGAAGGGTGATGCCGTGCATTGAATGATATTTGTGGATTGGGTTGCGCGCCGCAACAATGCTAAGTGATATGGATCGGGTTGCACGCCGCAACAATGATATTTGTGGATCGGGTTGCACGCCGCAACAATGCTCAACGATATGGATCGGGTTGCATGCCGCAACAGTGTTGTTATATATTGGGATCGGGTTGCGCGCCGCAACAATTATTGATACAAGTGTGTTTAAATTGGATATTAGTCTCTTGTCCACTGTAAATTTTAAGTTGCCTTTAGACTGTTACTCTGGATTTACTGTTAATACTGTTATCTCCCCACAACATGCTTCCCCTCCCATATTGTTTACTTGTCTTGTATTTCGATTCCGTTGTATGTATATAACTGCACAGGTTTATGTGGTGGTCCAGTCTAGCCTCGTCACTACTTCGCCGGGGTTAGGCTAGACACTTACCAGCACATGGGGTCAGTTGTGCTGATACTGAACTCTGTGCTATTTTGCACAGGTCTAGGTTTCGAGCAGCAGCAGCAGTGTGAGAGCAGGCTTCATTTAAGCGAGACCCGAGGTAGCCTTGCAGGCGTCCGCAGGCCCGGCGTCTCCTCTATCCTTTATTTTTATCTGTTATCTCATTGTAATCGAGACAAACAACTTATATTTTCTTTCAGACGTTTGTATGTAGTATTCATAGCAGTTCGTGAGTACAGTGACACCAGTCTAGGGTAGAGGATTTTGTTGAACTTTCCGCGTTTTTAATCAGTTTTTATAAAATGTTAAGACTTCCGCTTATTCTTGAATTTCGTTACTTTTGCATTATTGCTGTAAATTGTTAACATGGATTAGGTCATTAATGGACAAGTAAATAAATTTGGCTTGCCTAGCTCTTATTAGTAGGCGCCATCACGACTCCCGAGGGTGGGAAATCCGGGTCGTGACAGTCGGACACCCGCACCCGTGCCCGAGCAACTTAGGTTCAAATCCCAGTGGAGATGTAAACAAACACTAGGTGATTTCTTCTGATTTGTCCAATCCTTGAGTGGATAGAGTTACCCGGTACCCGTTGCTGGAGGAGGAGGCAGGTATCCCATGGAATTAATCGAGGTACGTGCAAGCTAGCCCGGACACCACGATTATCAAAAAAAACATTGTCCTTTCAATTTTATCGACTAAATCATAAAGTTAATCAGTAGCAATAACTGCTTAATTAATTACTTTTGGCTAAGTTTTAAGTGAAGAAACAACCTATTATCATGTTCGTTTCTGTTTCATTTTCCCATTGATTCACAATTAATAAGTCAAATAAGAGGGGATTAACAGAAATAGTAGCTAAGAGGCTCAAGGATCATACCTGACAAAATATTCTGATACAACTCCTCCACCAAGACGACCCACGAAGTTGCAGAAACTGAAGAGCGATAACAGAATCTTTGTATCATGAAGACCTTGAGCTATTCCAATCTGTGCTAGATTATTGAGAACGGTAACTCCAGAACCCACACCGAAAAAGTAAACCAAAAACAAAAGCCAGAAATCTGCCTTGACCAAAGCTTCTTTGAACTTGAAATCTTCGCCTCTTCTTGGCCTCCTCTTTTTCTTCACCGCACCTTCCCCTTCAGCCAGAAGCATATCCACTTCGGAGATTTCGTCTCCCTCGTTAAAGCTTCCTAGGTTTGCTGATGACGATGATGGTGTTAACAAGGGTTGTGATTTATCTGCACTGACATTGTCTTGGTCTGATACATCGGTCAGCTTGCCGCGGTTTGAGGGATAAAAGGTCATCTTCAAAGGAATGGCTAGTGGAGCCATTAGAAGGAGCACCATGATAACGAGAAAAGTATAAGAAACAAGGACATTTAAAGAAAGTATGTCTTCCAAAATTGTTGTTGTTAATACATAGACACCCAGCACAATACTAGCTACTTGAACAAACAAAAAGTGGTATGACTCTGCAGAATCATCGCCTAACGATGGAGTACAAGGCCTAATAAAGTACATCATCAATAAACTTAATGTAGGAACCCCTAGTGCAAGGAAGAGTAAGAGCTTAGAAGAAGAATTGCGAAGCAATGCACTGTAGACTTCTGTATACACTGCAGCGCTGAGCCCTCCGTAACCTTTAAGAACACCAGCAACAGTGCCCCGGCTTAGAGGAAAGTTTCTCATATTAGTCACAAGCACAGTTGTGCTGAACCAAGCACTGCTATTCGTGGCCACACAAAGTGCAATCCACAACTGCCAAACAACAAAGTACAGTATATTGTTCAATTAAAAGAAGAAACGAGAAACCAAATAACAGAGAGAATTACATTAACTCTTGGAATCATAAGTAGTGTCAACAAAGATACAAGCAACAAAAATGGGAACATTAGGATTAAAAGGGAAAATGATCAATGGGCATTAGAGGGTATGACTTCACAAAGCAGCAGTGCTAAAAGGACAACATGGAACAAATCAGAGCTGGGCAAACCCATTACGTTACTATGAATTCAGCCAAAGGAAAGCAGAGATAACGGCTGAGCCTCAACCAGCAAAAATGACAGCCATACCAATCCAAGGAGAAACAGCAAGATCGAAGGAAAAGAATTCAGCTTCTAAGAAGAAAAGATAAAAGATATACTGGGACATCTTCTTAATTGTTACCAGTTGGCCAAGATCTTCAGAGTAAAGGGTGATCAAGCACCACTAGTTACATGATCAATGAAGAGGCGGAGCCAAGATTTTGAACTCTATAGGTTGTGCATTTTAGAATGACGACTTTAAGTGCTAATAACTACAACAACAACTACAACCCAGTATAATCCCACTTAGTGGGGTCTGGGGAGGGTAGTGTGTACGCAGACCTTACCCCTACCCTGGGGTAGAGAGGCTGTTTCCAAATAGACCCTCGGCATCCTTCCCTCCAAGAACTTCCCACCTTGCTCTTGGGGAGACTCGAACTCACAACCTCTTGGTTGGAAGTGGAGGTTGCTTACCATCAGAGCAACCCCTCTTGTCCTAATAACTAGGTTCTAAATTTAATATTTCTGCGTATTTAATGAATTGAATTTCTTAACCCAAATACATTGTTCGAGCAAAAATTACTCAGTTCAGGCGAACCCGTAGCCGGGCTTCTAGCTCCGCCCCTGAATCAATGTAATAACAAATGAGTTATTTTTTAGTCATGCAACCTAAACACTTCTTCCTCAGAAAATATAAGGTATTTTTCTTTCATGTCAAGCATAACCCCGATAGTTGAACTGAAACTGAAGAGGCTTTACTCTCAGATAAGCTAAATAGGGTAGTTGTTGCTAAAAACTTCTGCAAACAAAGCACCTCAGCTATGAAAGTCACTGTAAACCACACAAATTTAGTTAATTAATCAAGAAACATGCATCAATTTTGGAGCAATCACTACTCACAAAAACTGATCTTTCTAAGAAATTTTATATTTATAATGATCTCTTCGCGAGAAGGGATACTTGGCTGACGGGTAAAGTTGTTGCCATGTGACCAGGAGGTCACGGGTTCAAGCTGTGGAACCAGCCTCTTTGCAGAAATGCATGTTAACGCTGCATACATACAATAGACACTTGTGGTCAGGCCCTTTGCGGACCCAATGATCTCTTTGCAATTACAACCGAACACATGACATGGAGATGCACCAAATCAATCTCTTTTCCCCAAAAATTTTGGATTTCACTAAAACATGTAGTTAGATAGTAAATTCTAAAGCTAATCCAATCATCTAACAAAAGAAACAAGATTGCAATAAACATCAGCCAAAGATTAGATCTTTAACATAGATAAACAAAAAAAGGGAAGAAACTTTACCAGCCAATAAGGCAAGTTCTGAACAGTTTGACTAAGTGAAAGCCAAAGAACACCATAACCAAAGAAACAGGCAAAAGAACCAATCAAAAGAACAACCCAAGGTGGGAACTTATTACAAACAAGTCCAGGAATAAGTCCAACATTTTCTCCTATATCATTTGCAACTCCAAGCATAGTAAGCTGCTGTTGATTAAAACCAAGAACTGATTTTAATGAATGAGAATAAAGGGGGAAATTATATGCATTCCCAGAAGCTATTTGTAACCAAACTGCAGCTCCTAATCCTACCCATGGTGGTCTTGTTCCTCCTTTAATGTTCACCATTTTCTTGGAACTCTTTTCCTTTTTTTGGTTTTAAGGTTTCAAGATTCTTTAAGAAGAGTTTATATTAACAAGAATTTTAGACAGATAAAATGGAAGAGGGGATTTTTTATAATATTGATGTAGATGAGATCACCTTGGGGTGGGGGAGGGGGGGGGGGGGGGGGGGGGTAGAGGGGATGGATCTTGCAGGGTGTTTTGTCCGAAACGTTAGTATGTACAAACAGAGAACAGACGAAAATTCGAACAAACCAGGTTTCTTGGATTTAGTGGGGCTTGCGTTTATTTTTTCCTATTTGGTATTTTGGACATAAAAATTGAATTTAAAAAAAAAACAATATTTAGAATTAAGTTGAAAAATAGATTAGAATTTGAAATTACATTCGTATATGCATTTCACTTGTAAAAGTATTGTTATTTTATGAGTGGAAAAAAAAAAATTTTCAAATTTTTGGTGAACTCATTTTCAAAAAATATCAAAAACTTACAAAATTTCATGGTAAATACAGTTTTGAAAAAAAATATATATAAATAAACGGATCCTAAATTAATTCGCACCAAAAAATTCAATATGCAATAAAATATTCTTTACCAAAAGGCGATTTCATATCAAAGGTTTCAACCTTAGACATTTAAAATGTATGAAATACTTATCATTCTACCATAATTTTTTATAATAAATTTATATCTAAAAACCTTTAATTAAGGACCATAACCTTTGATTAGGGGTGTTCATGGTTCGGTTTGGATCAGTTTTTCCCTAAAAAGAAACCAAACCAAGTAAGTCGGTTTTTCAAATATTAGAACCAAACCAAACCAATTAAGTCGGTTTTTCTCGATTCGGTTTATGTCGGTTT